TACAGCTAAAAAGCATGAAGTGACAAACCAGCAGAAAAATACTAACTTTAAGCTTACAGATGGGACAGAATTATCTGTATAATGGAAAAAAGAAAGTAATGCGAAAGGCAGGATCTTAGTAAAAATATGTTACCTCTATAATAGCGAGGGAAATCATCTAAACTGCCCTTCCCTTATGCACTCTCAGGCTTATCACAGTCTATGACCAGCAGAAAAAAAATTCCATAGCTCCTGATTCCCCATGTTCTCTATTGTAAGAGAGACTCTAGGATGAAATTTCTAGTCAAAACTAGAGGAAGAGGACAGAAATACTCACCCAGAATAGTAAAATAGTGTGGCAGTCAGGAGACATCCTGAAGCTGGGAAAACCAAATCCAGCTGTATGTTCTGCATGGTTCGGACCAGAGGGATAAAATTGTTTCTCCCCCTTCCCATGCAAGTTCCTTAGTCCCTGAGCTGCTGTTCTACCACTGTTGCTTCTCATGAAAACCTTTGGAAGATCTATGTTTGTTTTACTGCAGAACAGAAGCCCTTTGGAAGTCTAAAAGGTTTACAGGACAAGAGATCATTTCCTGTCCAGCTTGCTAAGCGTTCTGCTTTCTGGTTATGAGCTTCCTTGGCAGCTATGTTCCAGACAAACTGTTTCCCTCTGCAGCAGAGTTTTTTGTGAGCACAGTTCTTTCATAAATGCTTGCATTTGGCTTCTAGAACTTAGTCCCATGCTAGCTAAGAATGACTGCTTCCCTGTCGTGGTTTAACCCCAGCTGGCAACTAAGCACCACAGCCGTAACTCTATCCCATCACACCACCATAACTCTATCCCAGCCAAAACCAGCACATTCTCCCATCACTTTCAGAACTAAGTACAAAATTTAATTTTTTTAATTCAGCTGTACTTCAATAAAAGTTTCTCATGTGCACAGAGCCATCCTACTGCATATTCACACACACTAACATAAACAAAAAAGCATAAGCTAGCAAGACCTACACATGCATCCAAATGTTTTTCTGTGCAGCTTGTAAAAGGAGGAAAAAAGAAAAAGATTATTCTTATCATATTCACAATAGGTGAACTCTCAACATCACTGATTTCAGTGGCCCTAGATTTTACCATGGAAAGGGGCTGTAAAAACTGAGCTAAAGACAGCTACTCTAAAACTATCAGTATGTAAATATAAAGTGCACAGTCACTGCTGGGTTTTTTAATGCTGGTAATTTTTCCACCGATGTGAAAAGTTATGAAAAATTATTTCTCCCTCATTAGGTATTGCTTGGTTAATTGCGTAGTCATGAGAGCAGAGGCTATGTGTGATTTTAATGAGGGTACAGTACAGAAGTGAATGGAAACTAATGCTTTAAAGCAAGAATTTTCTGAGTTATAATGTATTAGTAGATTCACTTGATCTGTTATTACTCGAGCTGTTCACAGTGCTGTGATTTCACTAGCGACTAATGTGTTTCAGCCATTTCCTGGGGCAATGAGGTGCCAGGGCTCTCTGGCCAAGGGCTGTGAAATCTCCCCCTTTCAGGACTCAGTGTTGATCTGGAGCAGTGTGGTGCATTGAACACGATACCACCTGACAGGTCATCGCTGGCCTCTAATCACTCTGCTCTGGACAATTATTTTCCCTCTGAGTTTCCTTTGTTAGGATGAACAGAAGCCAAGGATGAAACTTGTCTGTCTCCCGTAGTACTTTCTCATCTTTGAGACTCCTTCCCCACATTGCAGTCTAGGGCACACTATTGAAAGGGTATGTAAGAAAGTTGTTTGCCGTACCAGTTCTGTTGATTGAGCAGTAAATTGATTGAAAGTAAATGTTCAGGAAAGATAATTTCAGGGCTGTGAAGACTTAAAATTTTATTGCAATCCTTACAATATGTGATGGGAAGTGGACAGGTTTTTATGTTTGGTTGTTGCTTTCAAAATCCTACTCCTGCATTAAATAAGTAAATAAAAGTCTCGGTCTCATTTAAAAATGTATTATGAGCTTAATATGTGTACTCACTTTTTAAAACTTATGATTTTAAATTGGTTGGTGTTTTTGATGACTTGGAGGGGCAGTTTTACAATGATGCCTGGCAAGGGCTCAGCAGAATATGTTCACATTACTCCATGTCATGATTGTATTCAGGATTGTCTTCTATCTGTTTTAAGACTATCTGCATGAATCTGCAATAGTAAAATTGCAGTCCTACTGTGTTTTACATTATACTTGTTTGGTGGGGTCTTCAGTTTGCTTTTAATATTGAATTTCTTCACTTTGCAGTGCGTGCCTCTGAAACAATCTACCTGTTCACAAACGTAATCCGTTTCCAATTATTTTTACCGTGTTTCCCATAAGCTCTTAAGTTTTCTTCTGATATTGTTCTCTGCATTTAGAAATATTTATTGTGATAATTTTATGTCCATAAAGCAGAGGAAATTCTAGTTATGGCCCAGAAGAAGCTTTACAGATTTTGTTTTGGTCGTTTTAGAAAACCGTTCGCTGTCCATATTTTCCAGATGTAAAATAATAATCGATTGAAATTTTCCAGCTTACTGATAACATTACTGGTCGTTTGGGGGTTAGCTCTGCAGTGTTTTTCAAGTCTAAGTAGCATTTATTACCTTGCCTTTGCTTACAATGCTAAAAGAAGGTAATATAGAATGGTCATTTCTGCCATTCAGCTGAACAAGAAGCAGTGGCCAGCAGAGCTTGCTGAATAACAAATATGAATAGCTCAGACATTGAATAAGATCTTATAAAATGGATTTCAAACAGATCTTATAAGCAAGGTTGTGTTAAAAGAAAAAAAGTGACCAATTCCTCACCAGACAAGACACAAAATGTAGTTTCTCACTGTAAACATGAAGGTGCCGATGACTGATACTGGTGACTAAGTGAAAAATCTAATGGTGTTTTCTTTGCTTGTTCACCTAAATACATTACTTCCCTGAGACAAGTAAGCATTTGGAAATTTTGGAAGTTTCGCTTAAATGAAAATTAGTAGCTTCTCTGGCAACTGCTACCTAGAAAATATATTTGAAAGTGATGCTATAGTATGAAGTAAGTAGCATGAAGTAATGCAGTTATATATGTCTTCATGTTATGAGGAGGCATTGATTAAGGATGGTGCATCTTTTTTTATTTCATATATCACTAGTCAACTTCTGGAGGTAGTACTCTACAAACAGGACTGTTTTTCTTCTTAGACAACCTCTTTGGTAGAGAACTGCTTCTCTGTAACATCCATCCTTGACAAGATGATGGTCAAATTAATCGATCAAATGTTTTGTCTTGTCTTCCAGCAGTGTGAGTGTATTTAAGATCAAGGTTGAAATCAGTCATTTATTATTGTCTGCCAACCCTTATTATTGCTTATTGCCAATGACATGCCTATATAGAAAAATTAAGGTGTGAGTTTTGACATAAGAAAGAGTTTGTTCTGGCTTACATATCTCCAGAACGACGGCAGTAGCAATGAAGACACAAGCATGTCTAGCTTAAGTAAGGGCCAGAAACCAGGCCAAGTCCCTAGGGAGTTTTTGTGCTGGATGCTGCACCTAAAACATGAATTTGTTGTATTGTCAAAGGCTGCAGTGTGTAGTGTAGAGATAACACAGAAGTTAAAGTAGCTCATGTAAATAAAACTTCCAGTGCTGTACAGACTTCTACAGTTAGAAATGAAAGCTTTGCATCCTTCACAGAGCGCTGTGCTGCCCCCACTGCGTAAGTCTTTCTGTGATACGATTATATCTTCGTTTTGCAGTGTAGGGGTACCATAAGGGCTGGCAGGAGGGTGGGGCACTTGCCATGAACAGGTAGAAGTATTCATCACATTGTAAAATTCTGAAATTGCTCTTCATTATCTCATTCTTTCCTGCTGCTGCTTGTGTTAGGACTTCAACCTGCAAAAGCACTTAGTCCTAAATCAGTTTTAAGCTGAAGACGCTGAAAGACAAAATGCACTGACAACAAAAGCAAGATCACTGTTGTTGTTTTGTGGTGGGGTTTTTTTTGTTTGTTTGTTTGGTTTGGTTTGGTTTAGGGGTTTTTTTAAATGTCTATATGTCTATAGGCTTGCACTCACTAGGAAAATGATTATGATTCTTTTCCTGCTGGTGTTCCAGAATAGTCATGGAAACCCACGGGAACCCTTTCTGTCCTGTTGCTTATCGAGCAGTCTTTGAAACAACTGAAATAATGCTGTTTTCTAAAACCTGAAGGACTAAAAAGGCCTACATGGCTTCAACTTGAACTCCCAGTGGTACCTAAATGTTTAAGATGTCTAAGAAGAGTACAGATACATCTAAAAAGTGGAAGCCTGTGACAAGACTGTGCTTACCCTCAGGAGTAGCAATCACATTTAGAGGAGGTGTGGAAAATAAAAATTTAGAGCTCCATCTAACAGCTATCAAATAACTCATATTGCAGCATCAACAGCTAACAAACATATACCACTAAGAGGTGTTAGAACTGCACGTCCACATGCCTTGCATCGCCTTTGTGCTTATTTTCCTGTAGGGGCTTATCATCTGAAGGATGAGGAGTGGAGAGAAGCTACGTATGTAGCTACAGTTTTAGAATTATTGCAGTCTAGCTTTCTTGTCACACTCCTTAGGGGTAGAAGATGAGTTGTAAATGAGATCGGGCTATCTATGCCTTATGTAAATCTCAGGAAGTTAAGTAGTGAATCAAACTAATGTTGTCCTTAACTTGAATATGTTTATCTCATAATTAACAGGAGTTCAGATATGACTGCTCAGGAAGAAGAAAGTGTTTTCTTGTAGGATGTGTAGAAAATGTGTTAAGATTCCATAATTTAGTTGTGAGCAAACATGTTCTTTTTAACAAATGAAAGTAAATCAAATACTTTCACAAAGTTAAGAAGTCTAACAACAACTTCTACAACAGTCCACGTTTCATGACTGATTAAATCAGAATAAGTTTTGAGATTGCCTGGAAAACTGCCATGCTATTTCCATCATACTTAAAAGATGATAGCTAACAAGTGAAAATATGTCACCAGCTGTGGTAAGCAGAAGATGACATGCAGAGTGTGCAAGTGCATTTACTAGTGATTTTTTTTACTTTTCTGATAACAAATGCAAGGAAGTCTTTTACTTGTGTGTTTTTACATATAAAACATGTATGCTTTCTGTAATAGCCCTTTTCCCCCCTTTTCTTTTTCCAGAGTCAAGATGACAGATTTGCTTTCACTGCTGAATGGTATGACCCAAATGCTTCACTCTTTCGGCGTTATGAACTTCTGTATTATCCAAAAGATGGATCGGTTGAAATGGTAAGAATAAAAGAAAAAAATCTGTTGTCATAAGTGTAATATCCAATTAAATAGTTTGTAAAATGGCAATCCACTGCCTATACCTATTAATTTTCCAGGTAAGGAAAATATAATTTAAGACGTATCTTGCTCTGTTTCTAAAACTAAAAGAAAAGCAAAGATACAAGTTCACAGTGAAGCATGTGGAACAGTTTCCACGTTTATGATTTTTTTTTTTTTTTCCTTAAAGCTTGCTTTGGTATGGAGACATTTATTTTCACAAATCTGTTTTCATTCAATCTCTACTTGAGTTTCAGAATTGAAACTCAGCAACACTGACCTGCTGCTTGAGAAACATAAATTGAAGCTGGGGAATAAGCTTCAGCAGGAATTCCAGAAGTATCTGAAGAGTAAAATGTAAAAGAGTCTTTTCAAAGTAGAGGAAATGGTAAATTGCTCTTAATTTGGTTTTAATGAAAGGAAGGTTTCAGACAGTGGGATCTAAATTTTTCCATCAGTGATGCTTGCACAGACCTTTCTGACTTGTGGTTCATACAACTAATCCCCATTGTTTATTGATAGCAGGTTAAAACAAGCATTTTGCAGTAGCAGGCATATATATAAAAATGTAATATGTACTGTAAAGATAATCCTAATAAACCAACCAATGCTTTGTGCTTCCTTTTAGGAATGGGTGAATGGTTTGGACTAGTCTTTTCTGATTTTTAATGAAGACCTAAGGGTCTGAGAATAGCCTAGATTTGGATATTCACAGATATAAGTAATTTCATTATAAAATTTTAGTTTTCCTGCTATAAATATCAAGTGCAGAAATAAGAAAGCTAGTGGAATCTGCCTTTTCTTACCCAAACTACTGCTCACTGAAACCATGGTACCCACCTGTGTGGGGAGACGTACTTTGCACTTTTTACTGATAGTCTCTTTAAACAAACTCTATCATGATGTTGTCCCTTTTGAGTTAGTTCTTTGTATGATGTCTGTGTGTGCACGATTGTCAAAATGTGAGGATTTTTTTTATTTTTTATTTCCCACAGACAGTTTAGCTAATCAGTCAGGAGCCGTAATAATCTTCCTACACAACCATGTGTAGGCTGGCAAAATTGTTGTTCATTTCACCTAGATGTCTCAAAACCAAGAACTTTCAAGGTGTTCTTGAGCTTCTTAATGCATTCAGCATCAAATACCTATGGCTTGGTAGACTTGCATTTTGCTAGTGTGCTCTTAGGTTAAGATAGTATGGTGTGTACACAGTCACGAGTGTATATGGACTGTGTGTGATCAGGACAGGAGTTAAAAAAGAAAAAATGCATGTAACATTTCTATAGAAAGAATATCTCAAAATCACTTTTGGGGGTGCGTTTGTGAACAGAGATTAAATTTAGAATTCTCTTCTGGATTTTTTTTTTTTTTTATATTTCTGCAGAATTTGGTGATTCTTTCTTTTCTTTCTTTATTACTGCCTAATTCTGCATCTTTTGGTATCTTCCTGAGGAGATGACAGCCCGCTCTTACCTCTGACATATCTGGGGAGAAGGGAGGTAAAGGATATGAGCCAGCTTCTCCCTGCTTATGAGAAAGATGTTTCACCCCCTTTCCCACCTCCCTGACAATAGCTCTCCTTTATCATACACCTCAGCTGAGGGTGGAGCAGAGCTGTTGAAGGCTTGTGTTATGTGAAGTCCTCAGCTTTCCTTTCCTTTCTCAGCCCTTTATGTCTTGGTTCCTGTGAAGAAAAATGACAGTGGGAATAATGAGACAAGTTTCCAGCTTGCTTTGCAGCTGGTAGAAGACAGCATAGGTTTTTGTCCAAGGACAGCAAGCAGCTTTTATGATCAAATCATCTCTTGACAAAGAGATGCCCCATCCTCTGAATTTTCCATAGTTAATATCTCTCATGGGGAATTCTTAAAGCCTGAACAACTTTTCTCTCTACAGGAGATTTCCTAAAAAGAGAGAAGAAATCTTTAAAAAGGACAGATTCTTAGCAGAGAACTATTTTGTTTTGGGTAATTTACTTCTACATGTACATGGGCAGGAGGGGAACAGTCTAAACAGTCTTACATTTCTTCTGCTGTGGCTTATCAGTTGCTTTATAAAAAGGTCTATTAAACAGATCCCAAATTCCACTCTAAAGAAGAATTCTTTAACACAGGTAGATGCCTTCCCTCCACCTTTATCTTCTGCTTGAGAAGAGAGAAACAGCTCGGGGTGCCTTTCTAGCAACTGTTAGTGAAATAACCAAGGAAATGTTCAGATTTTTAGTCAAGATAATGAAGAATTTGAATATGGTCAAGACAGTTAATAGGCTTCCTGGCAAAGTCCAGGAAAAAACAAGTAGCTGAATTCAAGGGATTTCTTTTTCAGCATGTTGTCATTTCATTCCCTACTGCACTTGAATAGAGGACACTTAGTAGGAGCATGTATGAGGGGCTAAAGACATTTCAAGAGGGAAAGATTCTTCCTTATAATCCTGCCTCAGCAGAAGGAAGTATCAAAATAATTTATATACTCTGATCTGCAAAATTTTGGCTATTCTGGAAAAACTTACAATTCTTCTAGCCTTCTAACAGGAGAGAAATGTGTTCACACATTTCAGAACATGGAGGAGTATGTAATTTTGCTCTTAACTTTTTTTTCCTCCAAAATTTGTGGCAATGATTTCTCTTTCTTTTAATGCTATTCTAGTCTATATACCATTGCAATGGAAGACAGTACATGTAATTCAAGACAGAGAAGGGCAAGTTTGGCCTGAGGAGGACAAAACTCTTCCCTTCATAGGATTCCACTTCCCCAGGAAACTGAAGGCATCCGTAATATCTACATGCAGAGAAGAAACTGTTTAGCAGGTTGCCTTTTGTGCTTTGCTAGCCCACCCAGAAAACTACACATTAACGTCTTGCTTCTTGCTTGGAATGATGATATATAGCTGAATTGTCTGGACAGGCTTTTGAGCTTGCATCTCTAGGCAGTGAGAACCTCTCAACCTAGTGTTGCAATCATCCATCCGTCTCTAATCCTGAGTGTTATGCAGTCAAATAAAGCACAGTATCACTGGAACGATGCCCTGAAGAGGAGACCTGCCACAGTGTGTATCTTGATCGTTCCTGGTGTGAGCCATTGGTCTGTGAAACAGCATAGATCTGCCAGGGGGAACTCTCAGTGAGACTGGGCAGAGGTATCCACTAGGCACCTGAACCATTTATCACAGTTTGAATTAGCACAAGCAAATGATAAGATAAAAAATGCAAAGATAGCTGTCAGCCTGAGACTATTTAAATGGAATAAATTTGTAATTGTGGTTTAGTCTTCTAAGCTTTCCTGGTACACCTGTAAATTCAAAGGGTTAGGAATTAAATCAATTTAGTGATCAGATTCAATCCCACAGTACTATGGAAATTTCTGAAAGTAGAGTAAAAATTATGTTGAGTTTGCCCACATTTTAAATCTCTTGCTATGGTAGATTTTAATCTTCTTTTCTCTGCAGTATGATGTGAAGAACCATCGCACCTTTCTGAAGCGCACCAAATATGAGAGCTTACACCTTGAGGATTTATTTGTGGGCAACAAAATTACTGTTTTTTCCCGTCATCTATCCTTAGTGGACTATGGGGATCAATATACAGCCCGCAAGCTGGGGAGCCGCAAAGAGAGGTAAGAATGCACATTTTTTTGAAATCTTCCTTTGTGGTTGGGGTTTCAAAGTAGTTGTTCTTTGCTGGAAATGGGGTAAGTTTTCTGTACTATGGGGAGAGGAGGAGATAGCTACAAGTCTGCGTGCAGTTTGAAGTGATCTGGCATACTCATAGCTGGAGAGAAGCGAAGTGGCCCCTGCTTGTGGGCAAACCCATGACTGCCATTGTTACCTGATAAATCTTCAAGGCCAGCTTCTCTGTGGTGTCAGCTGCTGCCTCCTCTAGGTCTCTTGGGAGAGAAGAGGGGGAGGAGGAAAACAGGGGGTCCTGTTCAACTTTTTAACTCCCCCGGGGCAGGCAGCAGTATGATTCTTGTGATTTGTGGATTCTCTCAGGGCAGAATTGATATGGTAACCCTGATGTGTGCTGGCCTGGAATCTTGTGAAACTAGCACCTGTCTCTCTGGGATCTGTGCAGAAGCCTAGTGCCTTACCAATCAGATCTACTCTGTGTTAGTAGTAGTAACTGAAAACAGTAGGAACAGGAGTGAGAGAGGCCCATTCCCATTCTCCATTGCTTTTCCCACTATGGAGGATGTTTTCTGAGAATTTTTTCAGCATCTCCTAAACTCTGTGTGCATGAGGACAGGAAGAATAGAGTGAGAATGTCAATGAAACCTATCGGCTTGTTTGTTAAGACAAATTTCATTTATAATGGATGAAGATAAGACTCATCATCTCTTTTTGGTTGAAAGACTTGCTTTGGAAAAGACTTTAAGAGCCCATCCAAGAACAAAAATATCAGGAGAGACTTAATAAAATGACAATACGATTAGTTTACATGGATTTTAAATCTGGTTTGACTGCAGTGCAGGTAATCTCTGAATTTGCAAATTAATAAATTTTGATAATTTGCTCCAGCTTTTTTTGAAAAGAACACAGAATATTTTCTTAGGTATGATGTTCCAGTGAGCCCTATTTGCCTACATTCTTGCTTCCTCCTGCTAACTGGGCTTATTTTGAACTCTTTTTGGAGAGTTGTACATAACCAGACATACAGGAAGAGTTGCAAGTTTTAACACACATCTTTGTCTTAACCTCACAAAAACATTGCCGTGGAAATTACTGTCATAATACATTTCCAGAAGGAGTTCTCCTGGTAATTTTTCTCCAAGTTGGGGTTGGGCATGGTGGAAGAGTAGCAAAGGAGGTGGAGAGCATCAGAGGACGGCTTCTGTATATGTGGCTACTCTCTCTGTTCCTCAGTGGAGCCTTGGGTAGATTACATCTGTCTTGTTTATGGTTTTTATATCAATGTAACTTTTTATAGTTGTGTATCTCCTGCTCTGCCTAAACTAGCATAAGCCCTGGTGCTGATGCAGTTATACCAAGAAAAGGCAGCGTGTGATAAAATGACATTTTCTTCTTGTAAGGGAAGTTGCCGTCTATACAGCAACACTATAGTTATGTCAATGAAGTGGTCCTGGGAGGGGGTGAATTTCTGTCTGCTCTACAAAAGGAAGGAAGGGAATTTATGACATGTCAGCAGTTTGGAAAACATTTTAGGAATGTTGGCTGAAAGATAACATAGATATGCAAGTGGTGTTACATATTCAGAATAGCCCAAAGGAACATAGTGAAAGGTGTCTTAAACAGGCAAGGGGTCTTAAATCCAGTTTCTTCACAGAAGCTTTCACTGGGTAAACAGAGTCATATTAACTGGGTAAACAGGGTCATATTAAAAGAGTCCTTGGGCAAAACAGTTGCATATGAGGTATTTGTCTTTTTGGCCCGTTCCTAGCAGGTTTTACAGCAGTTATTAGTTAAATAGATGTAGTAAGATTTCTGCAATACGTGATAATTCCTAAATAATCTGTAGTTGGAATTCTATTAATAATTTTAAGGATGTTGTATGAGGCAGAATGTTTCCCCATCTTGCCTTTGTGCTGTACAGGATTATCAGCAGTTTAGTTTGACTTTGGAAATATGTTCTTTGGTCACTGAATATGTATGCAGACAGGCTCAGCAAAGGCCTTTGAGGGGGACTGAAGAATGTATATAAAAAATCTTGAATGTTTTGAATTAGGGACCTTTGTTTTTGTCCGTAAAGCAAGTGAATGCAATTCTAGGTACGTGAGGTACAAAATACGTGTGTAAAAAGAGGCTAGACTTGCTCAGGCCCTTTCTAGAATTAGGCTAAAATTATTAAGACAGTTCTATGGAGTTTCAATTTCTACACCTACTTTTCTTAAGTCTTGGGTCAGTTTTTAAATACAGCCATATTTGAGTGGTGTTCTTCCCTGCTCCCCTCCCAGTGTATCATAAGGAAACCATCACAAACAGTGACTAAAATGGGTAAGTAAGCATGTGCTTACTTACAGTGTACCACATAAGGAATCACTGGCGTGGGACAGGGATTTCTGTTTCTGTAGTCTTTCACTTGTGATCCTGGGTGGTTGTAACCTGAGGTAAACATTTGTCTGCCTAGTGCGTCCTGTCTAACTAGACAAAAATTAGAGTCAGTTAATGTCACTGGTTTTGAAAATGGTGTTAGAAAGCTTGTGTCTCAACCAGAAGTATTTGAATTCTTTTTTGATTGAGATATGTTATTCTTAGGCTTCTAGTCATTGACATAATCAGTGTTTCTTCCCCTACAAAACATAAGCTACTGTACATGCAACAGTCCTATTATTAGAAATAAGTAGATCTCAAAAGCATAGTCACAGCATGCTTTGTGCACCATTCCTTTGATCAGTTCCCATCTTCTATTGTTTCAGTAGTCATTGCAGTACTGTTGTACAGTCCCTCTGAAAATGTAAGCAAATGAGCTTAATTTTCATTCTTTCTCCTTTGTTCCCAGACATAAAACTGTTTCAGACTGTACTTTGCAGACTGCATCATGTCAAACCACAAGAAATATATTCCCAATTAAAACTAAAAATAGGGCACATGAATCAAAATCTGATCTCAGAAACAGTCTTCAGCATCCTGAATTATACTTTTCTTATCCTGCATACCTCTGAGAAGCTCACACTGAAATGTTAAAGTTTATATATCAGTGTTAGGGAAAAGATGTTGTAAGAGTTGCTCATTGCAGTTTTTATTAATGTCTTCTAGGTAAATGGCTTCATAATGCAATATTTCATTACATATTGGTAGGAATTACAGTTTTACTAGAAAGGTTGAAATTAGAAAAGTAAGGGACAATTTATTTCTAGCATTAGCAGTCTGTCTCAGATAGCCTGTGTAATAACATAGATTCAAAAAAGTATTCCTCAAGGAAATGCAAACGGCACTGGAGATCTCGTTCCAGTGGTTTGATCCTTACTGTTTGTGGTAAACAACAGAGTTGAGAACCTCTTATGCCAGGATGCAGGTCATGCATTGTGTGTCTGGGTGGGTACAAGTCATCGGTCAAGCATGCAGCTGCTCCCCCTCATGTGCCTCGATGCACGTGGCACACCCTGTCATGTGATAAATAAATAATACCATGAAATGAGGTGGAGCTGTGAAATCCTTGGAGAAGAGGGGAACAGGCTACAGGCCGTAGGCTGCATGGAGTATGCTGGCGAACTGTGTTGAATGTTGGCCAGAGGTCAGCCTTTCCTGATCTGAAGATAGGGCTAAACCAACTTTAGTTTGCACTGCAATGGACTCAAGCATAGGCTTGGTTGACTACTCTCATGCAGTTTCTGGCTACACCTTTAGTTCATCAGTCTTTTTGTGTCATATTTCCCAAAGGATCTGGGCCTAAGCTGGTCCATATATACAAGCTTCCTGATGCTTGAGAAAATCTCTCTTTGTTTCTGAGCTCTGAAGGTCATCTATGTCTATCCCTTAATTTCAGATGAAATGTCACGTACGTTCAGATCTTCCTCTTTACATTTCCCCGTCCTAACACCTCCCTTCCTTTAGATTTGCTGTGAAATTGGTAGTCTGTCTGTTCCCAAAGCATCTGTCAATCTGCGATCACTTAAGGTTCAAAGTAAATGTAGTGGAAGTTCATCCATCTCCTGTAACCTCAGAATATTTGCCCTGGCTAGAATATATTGCTGCTAACCTAAAGGCTGCTTTCCATGCTATGCTGGTATATAAAAAGAGAAATTTGCAATTATTTGCCTTTCACTTAGGGAAGTACTGCAATTAAAAAAAAAAAAAATCTATCTTGGGTAGCCTTCATTATTGGAAACAGTGTAAAAGATGGAAAGAGCTCTTTAGGATTGTTAGAGACGTGGAGTTTCTGAGATGCGGGGTTGAATAAATCTGTTGATTTGTAAGCTGAGCACATTTGAAGCTGACTCACCTCAAGATGAATGCAAATAGAAAATGCCATTTTACAGACCTTCTTTTTGTGCTTGTTATTTTTAATTAATAATATGTTTAGTGCTGATGATGTACTTGGTGCTATGCAAAGCACACTAATAAAACAGTCCTGGCCTTGGGGATGTACAGTATAAAAAGATAATTATCGAGAAGACAGGATGTACTTGGAAACAAAGATGTGGGGGAGAGTGTAGAGATTTTTTGGGTTGGTCTCCCTTAGAATGTAGCTGTCAGTCAGTATAAGAGACGTAATACCTCCTCTGCCAACCTTTTATTGTGTCTATTAACAGTGTCAGCTATTTGGCATGCAAATTGTATACCATGAAGTGTTTGTACTGTACCAAGCACAATAGGACCTTCTTCTCACTGAGGCCTTCAAATATTTTAAAAGTAATAATAAAACAATCATTTCACATTGAGTTTTATGGAAGAGGCACATGTTTAAGTAGTATTTTAAATAGAGAATTTTAACAGCTTCATTTTTATGTACGTAATGATTAACATTAGGAAAAAAGTGAGCTGAGCAAGTGTAGGGAGACATTAACAAATCAGTTGTATTCTAACCCAGAGCCATGAGTGAGGAGCTGTAGAGATACACACTAGCTAAGGAAGAAGTGGTCAAATTGTTTGCTCTGAGAGTGAAGGGAGAAGCCAGTAAATAATGACTGCTGGTGGAACACTGTGGGCCAACTTGGGTTAGAAAGCTGAGGAAATTGTAATGTGCAAAGCTCGTTCTTATCAGAATAATGCCTTGCACAGGCATTCAAGAACAGCATAGAAATTGATGAGACACTGGGACTAGGATGTTTGACTGTGGCAGAATTTCTCTTTGATGTGATGTTTTTTTGTGTGAATGTGAACTCAACATGCACACCAAATGCTGTAAGGAAAGTAGTGTTGGCTGTATCTCTCTACTCTTTTTTTTTTTTTTCCCCCCCCAGAACGCTGGCTTTGATTAAACCTGATGCAATGCCCAAGATTGGAGAATTAATTGATATCATTACAAATGCAGGATTTACAATAACTAAGGCTAAAATGATGGTGCTTTCAAGGTAAGGAATTTTTAAGGTTAGCTCTATTGTATCTAAATATTATTTTTGCAGTTAAGGACGTTCTCTGAAGCTATCCTGTGTTGTTCCACACATCGAATTCATTCCAGTGAGTAATAGAGGGAAGACTCATCAGTTTCATAATCATGTAGGTTTCTGAAAGCATGTAGAGAATTAAGCTAAGTATTAAAAAGTTCTGTTCAAATGAGTATGGGTGATTAAATATGTAATGCCTCTGTATGAATCCAAGGTGATTACCATAGCTTTAGCAATTCGGCAGTGTTTACTACTGAGATGTCTTTATGTCCTCACCTCATGGCTTCCTGATACAAACCATATTGCTGATTATAACAGCGTTGTCTTTAAAGTAGTTGGTTGGTTTGCTCTCAGTAAATCCGTTGTCTTAATTTGTGCTCTCAGAACCCAAACTTGTTTGCTTTTTAATGACGAGGTCCCAGGCAAAGCAAGTGATCTTCTGATGTTGTTGCAGGGTTGAACAGATTTTACTCATGCATCTTCCTAATCACCCCCCAACCTTCACTGTTCTCCACTTATCTCATTGAGCCACAAGATTTAAAAAAAGGCATGCTGCAGAGGAAACAAAACATAATTAATTTACCCTAGAAGACTTCCCCGAAGTTACTGCACTATTTCTCCATTGCTGCTTTGCCAAACCTGTTCATATACAACGTGTCTTTGAAAAGAAAAGCTATCTGTCTTACATAATACCACTTTCATGTGTTCTTATGGTTTCTGTGTGAGGTCAGGAACAATTTTCCCCTACCTCAAAACCTTTTTGGCTTTCTGAAATACTGATAAAACAACTATGTGACTTTCTCCTCTTGTCTCTGCATTCACCTGCTGCAATGTTTGATGATACTGGCCCCAGATCCTCCCTCAAACAACTGCAGTTTGTGAGTTCAATCAGGTTTCTAATGTTGATTCACAATTCACAGTCTCTTTCAAGCCAGCTTTTTTTGGCTTGCTCTCTTGCAATCTGAGAGATTTGATTCTAAAGTGTTGTGTTGGGTGGTTCTTTATTTCAGTGTCTGTCTGAGAACTTGAACTGTTGAGCCAAGTCATGTGCTTTAGACTTAACTCATACTGAAGGGAAGAAACTTTAAGACTTGACCTTTTATTGCCTATTGCTATATAAAAATTTCTGCTTGTCTTGTGCTTATTAATAATTATTTTCAATTATACAAGATTGGGCTGTGATACTGGATATATTTAAAATAATGTTTTCAGTATTTGTGGTTTCTCTGCGTACTATATACTCTGTTTCTTGGGACTGTGCCATTTTAAAATGATAGAACTATGGCTTTGCCAAAGTCTTGTACCCTTAGATCTCCGCAGGCATGCTTGTTCAAACCAGCATCATCATCTACTGCTTTCTTTAAAGGGATTATTACTGACATTAGTCTGGCAATCACTGTTAAGTAGATTCATGCTTTCTGTAAAAATCGTAGCCAAGATATGAAAGTGAGGGCAGGCACCTGCTTTGATAGGTCAGCTCTCTAGTCTCTTCATTTAATCATATGTCAATTCAGTCTATTATTCCCAAATGAACACTGTTTTCCATTCTTTAAAAGCAGAGAACTAATGAGAGGTGAAATGAAAAAGGAACTGTTATATAGCACAGCTGCAGTTTCGTATTTATTGCAATAGGAATTCTTAACTGAGTAGTAGAGCTCAATTTGTTTCTGAAATACATCCCTCAAATATTTCTTTGCATTCAGAAATGATAATACTTAATCTGTTTGCATACCTTTTTCATATTTGCTTTCCAAAATTATTTGGTGAATTAGTTTCAGAAGAGGATTTTCTGGTGAAATAGTGAATTGTAAGCAAAAACTTTAGGCTGTTTGCAGAGTGTAGGTTTGAAGCTTGAGATTGCAAGAGTTCCTGTGACTAGCATAATTTTTAAATCATGTTACTGCCTTAGTTATGAAATGGAAGGAAAGCATATTAGCTGTATGGTCAATCAAAATCTTTTGAATTTTGAATGGCTCATACTTACACTGAACTGAAAGCAACAAACCAGGAATTATTCAGTTCCAATGAGCAGGTGGTCATTTTGATAAAAAAGCTGGAGAAAGCTGTGACTGTTCAAATATTTGTCAGGGTTAGGAAAATTAAATTCTTCTTAGGTTCTTCTTGAGGTTATTTCTTTCCTCTGGCAATATTGGGCTTAAGTCTGGACTGGAAATGGGAGAGAGATGTGAAAAGTTCCATTGCAGATGACAGAATCGTGCCTTTGTTCATACTTGGAATCTGTTACTTGAAAAACATGCAGGTCATTTCTTTTAGTAAAGAGCACGGCTTGAAGTGAGCAAAATCATGGAGAGCAGAAAAAATCAGAAGATAATTTGTGGTTTTCAGGGGGATTTATATATATGTGTGTGTGTATATATATATCTGTATCTATACATCTGTATCTGTGTCTTTTTACTCTTCCAGAAAAGAAGCAGCTGATTTCTACGTAGACCATCAATCAAAACCTTTTTATAAGTAGGTATATCAATTTCACCTTGACATGTATTAAGCTTTTTTATTGAACGCACAGGATTCATTTACAATATTTGGTACTGCAGGACCATGGGAAAATCAGAACGTGTCTTAGTTGAGTGGAGCCCTTTGCAAAGTATGCACCTTGTTCATCTTCCTCCAGGGACAGATCCTTATTTCAGCTATTCAGGGTTTAACTCACACTCTTTACAGCCTGATGATATCAGGAGAATGTCTTTGGTCTCTCAGAAGTGAAAATGCTCCTAGCAAGGCGAAACTTCAAAGCCAAGAGAAGGAGCATCTTCAGGATCAGGGTGGAGCTTGCAGGTAATGAGAATTTTGGGGAAACGCTTAACTGTGAGAATTGATTTGGTAGCAAGTACCCCAAATCATAGGTAACTGAAAGAATAGTGCATGGGCAGTTATTTACTGTACTGTTACCCTTAGACAAAATGTCAAACTTCCACAACACTAGACTGCTCCACCTAACATGAAAAACCTTAGTCTTTCCATAACTGACCAGATTGATGCTTGTGACCCATAGATTGTGTCGTTTCTACTTTGCCTGAAAGTGCCAACAAACAACTTTCTTTTCCTCCCTCTGGATTTGGCAGTCTGCCTCTTTTAGGAAGAGGATGCAGCTCTGCCTTGTGTTTTTCAGCCATGTTGGAACCTGAGTTTGCACTGACTTGGTCATAAGACCTGGTTTCAGTACTGTCATGAAGTGCTTGAGTATTAGGATCTGCCAGCTGCTCTCCTGCAACAGCAACTGATTTATTGTGGGTCCAAACGCAAGCCCTTCATAGAGACGTGGCCCCAGGCTATGTCTGACCATGTTGGAGATCAGAGGAAGATTTAGAATTGCCTTTTCTTTGCTGAGTTAGCCTGCTTGAATATGGTGATAAATAAGCAAGAATTTTGCCTGTAGTGTTATTTCACAGATGTCTGTCTACCCTAATGGTAATTAGCTGAGGAACTGTAGCCTTTGTCCACTGTGATGTGCCTGTCTCCCATCCTACAGTCCTATTGGCTACATCTTCTGTATAGGATTTTTCTCTAAATTAGAAACAAATAGTTATAAAGCATTACAAATCAAATGGAACAAGAATATTCAAGGCAGTGAAATGCAAAATCTCTGACTCATTTATATTTAGCATTGTATTACTTGTCTTTAAATTCAGATTTAGTTTGCAAGTTCACTAGTCAATGTAAGTCTAGTGAATAGTAGGGAAAAATAGCAATTTGACTTGTTTGGAAAAGAATGTTTTTCGTATTAAAGAATTTAATTTTTAAAATGTATTTAATATTCAGGATTAGTCTGCACAGTAAGCAGTGCTGTAGAAATTGCTTTTTTTCTTGGCTGTATGTATGTGTAAGCCATTTAACTGTATCCTAAACAAGCAGTCTCTGACCAAAAGAACCTGGGTTCCAATAGCTTTTCCCTGTGTGATTTCTTTATGTTTATGTAACTTTTTATAGTTTTAATATTGTTCCTTTAGCAAAGAACTAGTAGGATTTCTCTTCTCTTCTTGCCCACTGAGCATTGCATAAATGATCATTAGGAAGCAGGTGGTTGGAGAAGCATACACATCCACAATTATAATTGTGTAAAGCTCTTTTTTTAAGAAAGTAGTACAAAAAGCATTGAGTCAACTTTCTCCTTTGGTTCTGTCCAGACTACACAGTGAAAAGGCAGGCTTCTTGGTATGCATGTTTTGTAAAGATATAGAATCATAGTTATGGTGTTTTGTTTAGTTTTTAAATAGAATGTTTGGGTTTCCAATTTTGGGTGGTTGTTTTCTGTGTAAATGAGGTGGTCAGGACAGGAGGCAGGCTGCTCCTGACACTCTCTTCTCCTTACTCAGATTCATCCCATTAAAATCAGTTGACTTCTGCTTATGCCAGGATGTGATAACTCACTTTGTGGTTCAGTCCCCTCTCCCCCGCAGACTTTCCAAATCTTGCTTCTCCCTTCTCTCCCACTTCGGATTTTGGCTGGGCAAAATCCACGGGAGAGAGGAAGCAGATGGTTGGAGAAGCATACACATCCACAATTATAATTGTGTAAAGCTCTTTTTTTAAGAAAGTAGTACAAAAAGCATTGAGTCAACTTTCTCCTTTGGTTCTGTCCAGACTACACAGTGAAAAGGCAGGCTTCTTGGTATGCATGTTTTGTAAAGATATAGAATCATAGTTATGGTGTTTTGTTTAGTTTTTAAATAGAATGTTTGGGTTTCCAATTTTGGGTGGTTGTTTTCTGTGTAAATGAGGTGGTCAGGACAGGAGGCAGGCTGCTCCTGACAATCTCTTCTCCTTACTCAGATTCATCCCATTAAAATCAGTTGACTTCTGCTTATGCCAGGATGTGATAACTCACTTTGTGGTTCAGTCCCCTCTCCCCCGCAGACTTTCCAAATCTTGCTTCTCCCTTCTCTCCCACTTCGGATTTTGGCTGGGCAAAATCCACGGGAGAGATTGATGGGGCAGTGGAGCAATCCATCCTGACAGCAGTGCTGAAGTTGTGTCGGTGGGGAACACACACAGCTCATGTGTGAGAATCCTGAAATCCTGCTGAGCAGGAGAGACATGCTTAGGAATCGTTCCTGTCAGACAAACGGTTAGCAGGGTCTGTTTTGCTGTTGCCAGTACTGATCTTTTAAAAATTCTTTTGAAATCTAACATACTACAGAGTAGCTTGAGTGAGTTTGTATTGTCTGGTTCTTTTTCTACAACCATAATAAGAAGGAAATGTCTGCACATGACCTAATACAACCTCCTCCTCAAAGCAGAGCCAACTTCAAAGTTAGATCAGGTTGCTCAAGGCCTCATCAAGTTGAGTTCTGAGCATCTCCACTGGATCATATAGTTTTGTTGGTTTTAATTTGTAGTGTGGATCACCATGTACTGTTTCCATTTTGCAGTGAGCTTCTCCAGTTTATAACAAGTGGTCCCATTGTTGGTATGGAAATCTTAGGAGATGATGCAGTTTGTAAATGGAAAACATTACTGGGGCCAGCAAACTCTGCAGTGGCTCAGACTGATGCACCAGACAGCATTAGAGCGAACTTTGGACATGATGGCCTAAGAAATGCAGCTCATGGCCCAGATTCGGTTGCTTCAGCTGCTCAAGTAAGTTTTTGACTGTTTGTTGACTGAGGTTTATTTTTACTTTATCTGGTAACGGCTGGGTCAGGAATTCCTCATTTTTTTCCCCACTTGCATTCAGAACTAGTTTAAATATTCTTCATGGATCCTTTTTAGCATGGAAAAATAAACTGTCTGAAAACAGAAATCTTGTTTCTTTCTGTCACGAAGGGGAACTGTGGGCACTTTGGTCAGGAGAGCATGCCTGGTTTTTTAATGTCTTCTGTACATCACAAACATTGAGTTAATTGCACAGTCTGTGTAATCTACCTATAGCCTACCAATGTTGGTCATAAAAAGAAAGGGATTAAACAATTAAATCCTTTTGTGCCCTGCTGTGTTTTGCTTATCTGTTCTCCTCCACAGTCCTCACTAGTCCTCTGCCTGCAGCCTACTTTCCTCTGCTGTTATTGTTCAGAATGAATAATTATGAAAACAGGCCACTTTGTAGTGCTTTGTGTTTTGAGAGGTAATACAGTGGGCTTGGCTTTAAGGAGTTTGGTTCTCTTTTGCTTTGTTTGCAGTGTGTCTTTCCTTAGTGCTAAGAAAAAAACCCTGGGACTGAGTGATAGGTATTACTAGCATTTCTACAGAATTGAGGTGACTATTTGTGGGTGTTGTTGTGGGGTAGATATGCTGATAAATGGTGGGAAGAATAAGGTTTACCTGATGATTGGATGTAAGGAAAAATTTCTTTACTGAAAGAGTGGTGAAACATTGGAACAGGCTGCCCAGGGAAGTGGTTGAGTCCCCATCCCTGGAGGTATTTAAAAGACGAGTAGATGAGGCACTTCGGGACATGGTTTAGTGGGCATGGTGGTGTTGGGTTGATGGTTGGACTCGATGATCTTAGAGGTCTTTTCCAACCTCAATGATTCTATGATTCTATGATTGATTGGTATTGTGCTGTGGTATCTTAGCTCTGGACCAGCAGGGAAAAGATACCAGTTGTTGCTTCCTTGATCCTAGTCTTTCCTCTATTTAAATTGGAACAGCTGCTATAGCACAGCTGGAGAGAGACGTGCCCCGGAATACCTAATAAGCTGCCAAGTACTGTAGACTAGAAGATATACGTAGAGACTATATCCTGGTGGTGAGGACGGATCTCGTCAGCCTCTTCTTCTGGCTGGCTGTTAGACTGCGTGGCATAGGAAGCTAACTGCAAAGTGAAGGCAGTTTTCTGCTGGTCAAGCACTCATCTCGCTTATCTGCACCGTGCCTGGGCTGCTGGATCCTCTCCGTGTGCCTCTGGTTTTGACAAGAAATCATATGCTGGACCTGAAGTACTTTTTCTGCTGGCAGACTTGATGAAGATGGTACAGAGTCAGAAAGAGTTTGGACGAAATTGATCTTTTCTAATGAAGAGGAATTACAGTCAGAAAAATCTTTGTAGTTCTGGTTAAACAGCTAGATGTCTTCATAGATAAGGGTGAAAGTTTCTCTTTGTTCCTGTGTACTGCCATGACAACTGTGCCAGCTTTTGAACTGAGAGTGCAGGAAAGAGTATCTATTAGCATAAAATTTTTATTAGAAGCATAAGTATGTGCTTTGGCTTAAGTTTGTTGTTCTTTTTGCATTTCATTATTTTTGAAATGCTGTTTGAAGGCCCCATTCATCTGCAGCATTTTTATGACCGTGGGATTATTTTGCTGAATTTTTTCAGATGTGTGTATTGTTGTGGTGTTACTGATACCAACCTTCAATAAATCAACCAAAATTGTGAATTTAGTACCCCTGTGCCTTTTTTAATTTAGTAGGCCCAGTATTATATGGCTGTATAGCAGTTGCCATGGAACCTAGTTGGCTGCACCTTGCAGAAGCTTTGCTGAAAAGAAAGAAATATAAGATAAAGGGACCTAAACAAACTTTTCTGAAGGAGAACTGAAGTCTCAGCCACATTTAATGAATGTATTGTAAACTGAACAGTTAGTGTGAAAGACTGCGTTGTTCTTTTGGGGGCTAAATGACAAGTGAAAGTATGCCTGTGGTATACTCTAAGCTGGTGTCTCTATGCAGGCCAAATTTTGGAATTTCTTTAGATCAGGAAGAGCAGGAAAGGAAAAGAATTTTCTTTTTAAGGCTCCACTTGGTTATAGTTTGGCATTTCATTATCTTAGTCCTTCAGCATTATTTAGTTACTTTACTTTTATGACTTTTAATGGATAAAACAAAGTATTAAATATTGTAAATATTTTGCTGCCTTTTCCTGGATGCTTCTTTTAGAGTAAACATTAGTTAACAGAGTGGGACAAGGTCTTTGAAGCATGCAGCATTTTATCAGTAGAAGGATGTAGGAAATGAACCCTTTTGTCTCAGATATGCCCACTTAAAATGTGGGTTATTTGCTAGGAGAAAAACAAAAACCATTTTCCTTTCTATTGAAAGATCCACTAGTTTGAATTCTATAATTGTTCAAGTAAGGATTACAGCAAACGGCAAAGAGCCAAAAACTGAAAAATAGCAAAGACCAATCCCTATTCCGTCTGAATTGAGCTAATAAATTAAATGAGACAATTCCAGGAAATGGCCTTTAGCACTGCTACTGTTACACAGGAAAAAAATCAGATAGTCCCTTCTATTGAAAGATCCACTAGTTTGAATTCTATAATTGTTCAAGTAAGGATTACAGGAATCGTCAGAGTGCCATGAGCTGAAGACTGGGAGATAGCTATGTCTATTCCGTCTGAATTGAGCTAATAAATTAAATGAGACAATTCCAGGAAATGGCCTTTAGCACTGCTACTGTTACACAGGAAAAAAATCAGATAGATTTGGTAGTAGTATTTCCAGGATGTTATTATTTCCCTTAAATAGAAATTTATCAATTCTTTTACTGAATTTGACCAATAGGTCTGAAATGAAATCTGTGTTTGGAGCATTTGACTAATGTTAATTGGCAGATTGTGTAACATATGTGAATAAATGGTATGGAAAAAGTGTGAAGCTGGCAGTGAACAATGAAAAAATACACTGAGGAAAGAAACCTGGCTGTCAAGCTCACTCCAATATGGTCTAAGACCCAAGCTATATGATACTTGAGTAGTAGTGATGGTGGGAGGAAAGGAAGTGATTGGAGGCAAAGAGGTTCTTTTGATTCATCCCAGAAATCAGAGCAATTGAGTTCATCAGCTTCAATTCAGTAAGATTAAAAAAAAAAATAGAGTCAATAAGGCAGGAGGAGTGAGTCAACAATTTTAGAGAAAGTTTAGTTGTTTAAGACAAAGGGAAAAATTGTAAACAAATGAGATGGAGGTCAGTTTTCTATATGGAGAGAAAACAGTGAAAAATGGATGGTAGTTGCATTTTTGCTCATATAGTGGAATAGATGATGTGAAAAGAGGGAAGATAAAATATGTGTATATGGGAGTGGATTTGGGAAAGATACTGAGGAAAGAGAGAGAGAATTCAGAAAGCTGGGAACACCTCTACCAAATGATTGTGGCAGCAGCATTTTGAATGCTCTGAATGGAAACGGATTGTGTTGCAGAAATGAAAAGAAAGACATTGCAAGAAATATTCAAATCTTGCTTTTATGATTGTAGCAATGGTGCCAGAGAGGGAAAGATATATTTGAGATAATATTATAGGGAAAAAGCATTTGTAGCACAAAAATCTATAATTAAGGTTTATCTTCTGTGATTATGGATACTTCAGATGTTGTTACTTATGATAAAAGCTGATGTATGCAGCTAGATCAATCTAAAATGTATTTAATTACAATTGTTTTCAGGAGCTGGAGTTGTTCTTTCCCTCCAGTGGAGGTCGCGGACCAGTCAACAGTGCAAAATTCACAAACTGTACTTGTTGCATTATTAAGCCTCATGCAGTTAATGAAGGTAAGCAATGCAGATAGTGGAGGTGAAAGCAATGTGTGCTTCATTGTATCCATGATCATTCCTGTGCCCTTTTTGGGAGAATCAGACTGCAAGAGCACAGGGTATATTTCATAGTACATGCAAAAGTATACAGATACATTGTCTTTCATACACCTTTAGTATTTCTGCAGTTCAGTTCCATGTGGAGTGGGTCGTGTGCTTTCCATGTGGATACTTGTTAATTTCAGAATAAGAAGAGAGAGGTGAAAAAAAGAAGGATAAAAATATACATGAGGTTTGATGAATCTTACTGTGACAGCTTACCATGTCCTTGCTCCTGTCTGCCCACCACACTCATCTGCTGGAGGTTAGCATCCTCACAGCAGGGTGAAAGCAGGACACCTGGCCATATTGCAGGACCTTCCACTCACCCAGTAACACATTGCATTAAAACTACTCGCAAAGGGAGATTTGTGCTGATATGAATCTTGTTCTGTTAAATGCAGTGGGGATGGAAAGTAGAAGACTTGTTTACTCTAGGAAAGTGAGCCAAAGACCTAAAGCATTTGTTGGACTTCATGATGCTTTCTGTGCTGGAGAATGCCCTGTGAGCTCACCACATGAGTATTGGAAATGTTTAATGCCCAACTGTTACCATGCAAAAATAATCTCACTTTTGTGTCTTGTACTTAGATACAGGAGCATGTGTAGGAGCAGTGAGTGCGGTAAAATATTTTGGCTCTGGCACTGCAACAGTATTTTTGAGTGCAGAATAAACATTGCCATGTGAAAGCATTGAGATTTTTCTTAGTAGGATGCAGAGCACACTGCAACGTTTTAATCACTTCTCTGTGGATAGCTGAAATGGAAACAGCAGAAGTGGCCGTAGCAGTTTCCAGGCCTTTCACACCTCAAGTGGGATGTCTGGAGAGCTTGCTGAAAAAAAATGGCTTTCACAAGAAAGTCTCTCACACTCACTGCTGATAATATGCCTGTTATCTCTTTGAGGCCTTGCATGGTATCTGCTACCGATAAGTCTGCCATGCAGCAAAGACAGAGTGATGTTTCTTTTACAGAAACATGGGCAGCAGCTGGGACTATGATCTTACCTAGCTAAATGTTTGCAGAGGACAAACTTTTCCGTGGCAGGATTGTTAAGGTCCTTAATTTGATTGTGAAAATAGCAAAGTGGATGGCTTGGGCTGTGCTTTCGTATACTTAAGATATAATTTCTATTACATATGGGGCCTCAGACTCTCTCTTAGTGACCTCAGGTTGTCCCTTCCTACTTTTAATCTTCTTAATTTCTGTAGATTTCAGTGTGCCCTGTCTGTTACTTTCTTTCTTTTTTCTTGAACCTCAGAATTTTTCTGAATTACCAAAGGACAAATTCTGGCCCTGTTTGCACTCCCCTCTGGGAGTGTGAGTGTCTGGAGGAGGTGGGGGTGGTGAGAGAGAGAAAGAGGTAGGGGTACAGATAAACAGAAAATGTAAGCGCACACTCAGCTTTGCAATGTGAGCACTAGAAAGACTGGACTAAAGTTGAGTTTAATATCCACAATGTAGTCCTTTCTCTCACACCACAGAGGGCTGGAAAGGCAGACCACAGCTGCCAAACAGCAACTAAAATTTGAAAGACAAAGCATACCTTGTGTGAGCATTCTCTGTCCATACAGCTTTGATTACTACCCTCAAGAGAATGAAGAAATAAAAACTGAATTTTCTTTTCTAAGTCAGCAAAGCGTTTTATCAATTTTAAATTAATACCAAGAATGATAGAATTCAGGGACTAGCTATGCTTTTACCTTACGAAGCTCTGTTGTTCCTGCCTGTTTTCTCCAATGTTACTTTGAATGTTTCAAAAGCCACAGGTGCTGCATCTCTTACAGACATTATAAGACTGAGGAGGTCTTGCAAAACTTCCCAGAAGTCTGGCTTCTGACAGGGAGTTAGGGAAGGGAAGAGTCACTGTGGCTGGGCGGTGGCCTCCCTCTTTGGCTGAGAGCGCTGGTGTGGCTTCATATTGCAACTGGACTAGTTCCAACTCTCCAACATCAGCCCAATGGGCCAGGAGTGTCGCAGGGGAGAGGATTTGGCTTTCTTAGCCTGTCCTCTTCTGTCGTCTTTATTCTTTCTCATATTCTTCTTCAGCCTATTTTTGTCAGTAACATCAAAAATATCACCGAGTGGCATCTCTTTTGGTACACTTGGTCTTCTTATAAAGCACTTTGCATCGTCACGGTTGGAAGAACCATGCACAACAGAGTAGAGAGCTGTGCACTAGCTTTGCAACAGTTTTTGGAAGTCTTAATTCTGAAATTACTCCCTTACGATTAAACTACCCGTTTTAAAGTTGAAGGAACATAGCTTTTGCCTCCTATAGATTTTAAAACTTTTAAAGTTTTGAGCATGCTATGTGGCAGTGGCAGGCTGTCTCTATGGAAATGCCACCATTCCTCCTTCCCTGTGCAGACTGTTTTGGAGTCAGGGAATAGCATGCTGAAAGGGTTTGGGGAGACCAAACAATCTGCTCAGGAGAACTCCCAGCTGCCTGTCTGAAACAGGCAGACAAGAAGGGAGAAGCCCAGCTTTAGGGATTAGCGGGCAGAGACATGGCAGTGGAGCAGGCTGGCCCCATGGATTGTGCATCTGTAGGCAAAACGTTTGAGAAAGGAAGGGCTGACCTATTTGGGCTCAGCGATCCGTGACAGAGCGGGGAGGCCCTGCTCATCTCATCTCCCTTTTAACGGCTGTTAGCAGCTGTGTTCAGTGATACCGGGGACGTTCTGGTTATACCAGCAACATCTCCTGTATCTCAGTTGAAGTAGGTGCTATAGCAACTAGTGAGCTGCCCTTTTGGCAAAATTGCATGTAGGAGACTGCGCGGTCTTAAAAATAAGCACCTTGCTTACCCCCAGCAACAATGCTTCTAGCTGTGGCTGTACACCCTGCTGTTTCTGGTGGGGAGAATGTAAGTGGAAACACAGCAGCTGGAGAAGAAAGGAAATCCTGTGTGGCCATCAATGTGAAAAGGTGGTTTGGCAGAGGCATGGAAAGGAATTTATGTGGGTCAAAGCAGCAGAGCCTCTTATGCATTGCAGATTTGATTTGTGCTCCACAAATTTTCAGTATCGAGTATCTAAAAATAAACCTTTTTGCCATTTCCTATGCGCTGCTGAGGCTTTGAACTTGATTATCTAATTACCATGAATATAATCTGTTCATTATACATTTACAATTATGTGAAGTTTCACTTACATACTTGAGCTTATACAGAGCTTTAGTCCTTCTTTCTGCAGAAACATTTGACCAAATTCATGATTTGAATTTTGCTTTCCTGTCCTTTTTCCCAGTGTTTCTTTTTCCTCCAGAGTCCGCTGCATAACTAATTCTTAGAAGGAAGAATCTTCTATTTTTCCATCCTGGAAGATGGTTTGCTTTAACCACAGCTGTAAGCTAGGAGGCTTTTCAGCGAGCTTACCTTGCTGTCAAAAGGCTGGATCTAGTCTCTAGCTTACACTGGTTAATTCTTGGACAGAGTCCTTTCTTAGAAACTGACTTTGATTACCGTAGAGGGTTTATAGGGTTCCTATTCAGTGACAAAGCAGTGGAAAATTACTGTTGGTTTTATCTCTGGCCTTGGTGACCCTCTCCTGACGGGCATACAGAAACATCTGTTGCTAGGTAGCCGCAGCAGCGCAGCCCAACCACCTGTAGCAGGACCTGGCGTAGAGCTCATGCACGTGTAAGTCCTGTAAGCAGGAGTATCGAAAGTGTCTGCCAGGCTGCAGAGGAACCCTGGGGCCTGATAAAGGGTGTCAGGGGAGTTATACAAAGTTTAACTTCAGCTGTCAAGGGTGGTGGTAATGCTGGAGGGGTGGTATCGCCGGCCCTCTAGGAACATGTATCATACGCGCCTCTTAAAGAAGTAAGGCAATAGCTATTTTGTCAGTCTGGTGTCAGCATAACATCTTCTGAGGAGGATCAGAGATGGGAAAACAGCTGGGAAGGCCATTAAAGGCAATGTAGCCTAGTGCTCCGGACTAGACAGCTTTAGCTCATTCCCTAGCAGCTCCTCCCGGTGGAGATGAAGCACTTCCCTGGCTGGCTGGAAAGTTGGCAGTGGTGAGGTGGTTGTATTTTAACTCTGAAGAGGGTTTGCAAGAGCAGTCTAATTCCTCTTTATTGGGAACTGGAAGAATGCAAAAGCAACCTGATGCTACTCCATGCAGACTTGTTCTGACCAGGGGTGTGTCGGGGAGACACGATGTGGTTTGACCCCTCTAGAATCTGCCACGCTTTTCAGTGTCTTTTAGCCTCCTCCTTCTCTTCTCCTGAGACCAGTTTTCAGTTGAGGAGGATGGTAACTAGTAAGCACAGCTCCTCAGTGTGTTGATTAGGGGTAGGGCTTAATTGTTTAATAATTGGAGAGTTTTAGTGTGGATCTGTGTTCTGTAACCCACTTGTTTCTTGTGCATGGAGCTTCTGATACAAGGTCACAGTTGCAATCATTTAGACATTCTCTTTTTGTAATTCTTCTCATGTTATTAGATCTGGAGGTATTAGCAGTAGTGCTCAGAAGCCAAAACTGTAAATACACCAAAATGGATGAACTTCAGCTTAATGCCCTGAGAACAGTTATGACTCGACTGTTTTGTTGGCAGGAATAGCACCTTGTAGATCACTGGGTGGGATTAACTTTAATGTATTTATGTGTAACAGTTTAGTCATGTTTGCTGTAGGAATTAGAATTTGGTATTTCACGACTGGTTTAAAGTGTCTTTGATGTGGCTTTTACTTAATTCCTTTGAAAAATGAGCAGGGAACAAAACTATGAAAGTAGTGACGATGAGGCTATGAAGACTGAGGTCAGAAGTTTGTTGTATTTCACATTTTGTACTTAGGTTACAGCACGGAGCTTGAGAGGTGAAAACCTGCCCTCCTTTTCTGCACTCCCAAGCTGAGACATGGGTTCTCATAAAGTTAGAGTTTTGTCAAAAACAAATTTGGGGCTAGAACTG